TACTTATTATTATATTATTATACTATCGTCGTAGCACTCGTATAATAGCTGTTGGACACTGTATAGTCGATTTGTATTATCGTATCCACATCGCAGATAAGTGTTACCCATATATAGGTAGTGCTTGTAATCAATGGTACCTATTATAGTCGTTTATATGGCAAGTATACAGGGTGTCCCGTGAGGAGGATATTGCAGCCGTCATTAGCCGTGGAGGGACGAAAGCCCGGGGGTTTTTGCCGTCTTGCTAATATAACCCAATGGAAATTATTAAAAATCACGAAATTAATGAGAACAAAACGTTGAAAGGTCAACATTTCCGGGAGAAAAACTCTACGAAACGGATGTCTTCAATTGTTTCAAAAACGAAAAAATAAATTTCTTAACTTTTTCCCCGACAAATTTAATAAAATAAAAAAAAAATGAAAATATTCGATGCGTAGTCCTTGTCTCTGCGAGTCCAATAAAAAAAAAAAGAAACAATAGATTTGTGACATATATATTTTATTATCTCACGAGATATCGCAACGGGTAAATCCTTCGCGGGGCACCCTGTACAATAAAATAGCGGTGTTACCCGCGGGCGCTGCACCGGGCTATTCGAAACGTTTAGTCGCTCGGTCGGCGAATTCCGCCGCCTCCGGGACATAAGATAGGACCTGTAGCTGTTATACGGCGTGTTACGACCACTACACATATAGGTGCGTACATATGAGCGCGTTTACCTGCAGCAGTTATATTATTATTATTATGTACCTATCCGCGTGTAATCCGGTCGCGAAGCGAATCCGCTACAAAAACGGCGAGCGTACAAAGAAATCCGAGACCCAGGTGTGTGTGTGTGTGTGTGTGTGTGTGTGTGTGTGTGTGTGTGTGTGTGTGTGTGTGTGTGTGTGTGCGTGACTGTTATTGACTTACTCCCGCGGATAATTGGTGCACCGCGAGCGTACACAATATAATAATATAATATTACGTCCATCAGGGGGGGTCCTCTCGGAGAGCTCACGTCGTACGTGTGTGTACTTACTATACACTCACACACACACACACACACACACACACACACACACACACACACACAGAGGTGTACGTACGCACACGCTGTGCCGGACTCAGCGGGCACACACGTCCGTCGTCGGCGTTATTTGTGAATCGCCGCCCGAGCGGGGTGGGTATTTTTCTCTCCCCGTCACACTTTTACGTTTTGTTTTTCGTCTCGTTTCGTTTTGTTTTGTTTTTTGCGAAACGGCAAAAAGCCGTTACCCCCGGCCCGGAGCGGTTGACTTATACCAGCTCGCTTACGGGGGGCTGCATTAAAATCGTTCCTATACACATATCATACCTGATGCAATGCCGCCCTGCAACCGTCTCGCCGACGTGTACGATTGCGAGCTCATGTTGTTGGGCTGTAGGCAGTGGATAGAATCGATACCAGCTATACCGTGTTATGATAAGGTACCTACCAGCTAGTGACCATGCCACGCCACGGCCTATGGCTGGTGCGGATCAGCCAAACGCAAAGCAAACACATCTTCGAAAGCCAACCATAATATCGCTAAATTGGTTGCGTCGAAAGTATCTCATTTATGTAATAATTATCATAATGTACGAAGTGGTCTGCCGTTGGATATAATAATATGCTCAATCGATTTGTTTTGTTTTCTACGGGACAAAACGATATGATATAAAATATTATACTTCACGAACGTCAATCTCTTACGCAGACTTTGAGTTTCATTTATCATTTTGAACATTTCAATAGCGTTCGGCTGATAATCGAGTCGGATTTTTTTTTTTTTTTTAATAAGTCCCGAGTTGGAAAATAATGGTAAAAGCGTAGGTACCTACTGATGTACTTGTCCGAATTAAATGAACTTTTGAACTGGAAACTTGTTTGGAGGATTGGTCCTCATTTTGTGATGTTTTTTCGTAGGGGAGGGGGGGGGGTCATTACTTGAGACGTAGAACTTAGTGTTTGGCACTTTGGCAGAAGGAACCGGTCGGACCTACGCCCAGCTAATGGTTGGACAATTATTGTGTACGCGAGACGAGTTTTTAATCATGAACACCAGCAGTGGGCTGGAGCAATATAATCTCTATATTATAGTTTACGCAAGGTGGACAAAAATAGTATTGCCGATTTATAGATAGCGATATCACTATCATAGTAATATAGGGTATTAGTAGGTGTATGGAAATGTGCTGGTATAATGTAATATATTTTTTTATATAATACGGCGTTATTTTGTCTGCATATGCATACGCGTGTGTTAATATTCGAACATTAAACGAGAAGTGAATTGACATTTAAAAAAAAAACACTCATTGAACGTGCGGCCGGAGCAATATCCAACGCGTCGACGAGTCTATTTATTACGTATCACGCCACTCAGAAGTAATGCACTTATGTAGGTATCTTTATACTAAATTAGGGGTACTCGTACTACATTTTTCGAGATTTTAGAAAGTGTTTATTAGATAAATAATATTGTGGTTTAGAGATTTATCGATAACCAAAAACAAAATAATATTATCACTTAGATAGTATCCCATTGTTATATTTGTATACTGGTACACTATAGTATAATTAGTGATTGTAATAGTTGTTCCATATTTATTTCGCAACCACCTTTATTCCGTAAGTGGAAAATGGAAAAGATAATGTGGAGATTACATTTTAGATTGTAACTGAAATATCGACATTTATATATTTTAGTACGTACTCAGTTTTTCACACAAGTCGTTTATCGTAAAGCAATTACGTTGTACATAATCAAAGCGTTGAGGCCATCTTGTAATATGGTATATTTTTTCTTTGGTTATTTTTAATCAATATTCATAATAAATACAGTAAACAATTACAATGATACAACGGTACTTGTTAATACTTTCAAAGTTTAGATTATATTCTATGCTTGTGACTAATCAATTGCGCTCATAATAACACATTTTAATATGATGTTATGTGATTTCAATGTCAAATATGTTCAGCTTTTACTTTGGAATGTAGAAAGTTTAGAGAGTTTATTGTTACTTTTTAAATACATAATCAATGCAATACACTAATATTATATACAAATGATGCAATTAAATATTATGTACCTACCTCAATTAATTGTATTTTAAACATTAATCATTATACGGTAAATAATAGAAGAATGTGAAAAAATATTCTTGTCAAAACTTAAAAAGATCAAAGTTTTAAAAACATGAAAATTCTTCCTAGTCGTATTTTAAGCGTGTTTGTTCCTCGTGTGTATACAATGAACATAATCGTCATGAAAATCATGTTCCTATGATAAAAATAAATAAAATATTAATACGTCTTTATTATTAATATATTTATACAACAATTTGGATTCTTATTATTTTTTCTAATAAATTTTTATTACAATTCCATGACATCTGAATATTTGTTAATAACATAATTTCTATGCGTTTTTGAAGAGTATACTATTAAACAAATTTGACATGAAATTGTGGAGACTTTAACGATTATTTTATTAACACAGAAGTTATTATTTTAGTTGATTAGTATACAAACTCTATAAAATGGGTTTTTATTATTATTACACTGATTCAGTTTTTAAAACCCGAATATTAAATTAAAATTGATTAAATTTGTTAATTTAACGATAATAGTCTTATACTAGCTACACCTATATAATATACTCGTATAATATCTATACTAATCCTATATAATATGAGGATTTTAATAGTGCGTATAAAGTTGTTGTTCATAAAATTATGAGAAGATAAACTAATATTTTTGATTAAATAATTAGAAAGAATGTTTAAATATATGGAATGATATTATATTAAATAAATGCTGCAGTATTTTGAATTTTAAATACCTAATCGTTTTAAAAGATTTTTATTGTTTCCTTTAAAAGTAATTTCTTCTATTGAAATAATTTACTGTGAAATTGATTCAATTATAACTATATATAGTTTCATACTATTTTATGTACTTTCATTAGATCATTTAAGGCGTTTTTAGTGTTCTTACATATGAATACCTATGCATAAAACGTGTACCTTCAAGTTATATATTATTATCAATATTGTATACAAAATAAAAACTGAAATTTTGCTGGCAAATATATATATATTTTTAATTATCTGTATCGTTTGCTTAGTGAACCCAACTCGATCTATTTTTTAACTTTTATTTTTTCGTTATTGTTGTTGAGAAATTACACAAAACTACGCAATCCAGATGTTGGACAAATATTTTATTCAGATAACTAATCTATATATTATAATTATTATATAATATTATCACATAATCTCTATCGTTTCTTATAAAGCAATTTAATTAGATAATGAAATTAGGACTAAACTGATTTCTTAAATTCAACTATAGTGGTGTAATTTTATATTTTTAGCAACTGCATGTTAGTCAAATTAAAAATATTAAAACATTTCCTAAAGAAAATTAAACTAAAGTATTTTTGTACTTCGTAGTTGTTCACTTGTCCTCAATTTGTCTTATAATTTATTGATTTAAATTAGAAAATCTCTATTCATCCTTTAAATCCATCGTTTTTCTACCAAAGATTATAATATAATGTTTAGCCTCGAGAAACCCATATTGGCAAACAAATATATAAATATAATATAACATTACTGAACTATTATGTTTTTTTAATTTAATTAATATATACTATTATTTATATACTTGTACCTTTAATTGATTTGCAAACACGTGGTGTCATATTATTATAATACTCGTATGTTGTACATTGTTATGTTTAAATATAAAGTAACAGCAACACAAGAAAGACGTATGACGAAAGGCACGATACATTTTCATTTATTTTCCTTTTTTTAAAACGCCCATGTAACGATGACCATGATTTATACTCGTTGAGAAAAAATCCCTCTCGAAACCCGACAGCGCGTCTAAAAATAAATCGTCGAAATTAAGGACGCTGTATACGCAGGCGGTTAAAGTAAAAAAATAAATATCGTTTATTCATCTGTCTCACCTACCACGGGCAACCACGTTCCCCGCTGACGCCACTGCTCTGCACAGGGTCCATTACGGGGACCGCGCTAGCGTACTTACAACCAGTGAAAACCTATAATATAATAAAAATATTAATGGAGGTCATTTTTCCCGGGCGCTAAGTGCCGGGCGCGCCGTGAAGAACATCGACAGGCACTCGGCCTCTGTCCGCGGGGGGTGGGCTTTTCCTCGAAGAGAGTGAGAGAGAAAAAAAAATACATAGAAAGAGAAATCTACCAGCTCGACCGCCTCCGCCACACATCGGCGACGACGACGACGGGTACGGGGCGGCGAGAACCTTCATTCGCCGTTTTTTCGTTCATTTATCGTCGGCAAAAATAATGATTGTTTTCCCGTTACCACGAAATCATTTTTCCGAGAAAAAACGATGGGAATAACACGTTGTTGTTGATAAATCTCTCGCCGTAATCAATTCGCGCGACCTGTTGCGATAAATTTGCCACACTGACGAAGACGGTAAATTAACGCTACTTCGGAGGGGGTGCCCGAACGCCGTCAGCTCCTGCAGCACCAGCACACCATTCATTTTGTACAACGTGAGTGCACATATAGGTACATCGTATAGGTGTATATAATATACATATATATATAACTATAGGCATATAAATCTGGATTTTATATACATTTATCGCGTAACGGAAGGTGGAAAACGAACAATTATTATTGATATTCGGCAATTTGTCGGTTTTGAAATTCCGTAAAAATCTAAATTATCGGAGTTTGTTCCTGTAGACGTCTTACGAGAAACAATAAACTCGATCTGAAGCTCACTCAAGCAGTCTTTAAAGCAGTTGAAAGTTTTAAATTATAGATGTCGTCATATTTTTTTTTTATACATCAAACAGTTAAGAATTTATTGTGGATCATATTATGTGATATCATAGAACCTATAAAATATTATTATATATTCACATAAAATATCCATATATTACAATATATTCCTTTAATTTCACGATGTTTCAATTATTGAATTTCATTATATTTGTGCACTTTCGCGTACCCTCGTCATTGATAGTATATACATGCATTTCATTGTGTATTGGTAATAAATTGTGAAACAATGATTTCGAAGGTCTCTATATTTTCTGTTCATCTTATCGAGGAGTACATCGTTGAAAATCGAAATGAGTGACACAGATATATTCGTAGCAATCGCCAATAATTTGACATTACTCGTACTTTAAACTGTTAATTTATTCCCAGCGAGGCGTTGTACAATGAGCCCTGCAAGTAAGATAATAATTTAGTAAGACATAAATAGAAAACGATTTATTGCATCGGGTAGCCTAATCACACGTGTATAATAATAATTAAGTAATAATTAAGTACATAAACTTATATTTTATTTAATGTATCAGCTTCAATACTGTTATCACAAGTTATATTATAGATTAGTACCTCCTACATAGTATCAAGATTACATTAATTGTTAGGACTTGAACGTTTTTAGTTTTGTAGATTATCATAAAATTATATATAAAAAGTAAAAACATGTATTTACAGTGACCTCTATTTTTCAAGAAAATGCACCCAAGATATTTTTTAAAAATTTAAACGCGTTTTTAAATTTTTAAATCTATACAATATATTGTGCATGCTGTGTTTCCTGTACGGCAGTTGTGCCCACTAAAGTATGGTGCTGACACTATGTACCTTGACACCAACCGTGAAGTTCACACCACCATACAATACCTGCACAGTGCACACCCAAAGAAAAAATATGTGCCTATTATTAATATTTATTTTATCTAGATAAAAAATAGCTCTATTCTGTCGTTATTTTTCTCGGTTAAATTGAACTTGCGAAGGGCGTGGTCGCTTGCAATCAACCCTGTACGACAATAATACGACATCCGTCAAAAAGGAACAAAAAACGGTTAAAACAATTTTGAAACGAAAAATATAATATAATAATATAGCAATAATATACATATATAGCTGGTGTTGCAGAGTCCGGTCATTTCGTCACGATTGACGTTCCCACGAGTCATTTGCCGGAAGAAATCCGTAAGGCAAGACCGATGGCAGTGAAACTTAGCACGTTCCCACGAGTGGTTGCATTGTATGTGTTTGAATAAATGTTCAGAATTGCACGGTGCACTACCAGTTACCATACACTACAACACAAGAATCCGATGAAGTCGAAAAACGCCTTCTTCCGGTAGACTTCCGCGGATTCCAGCAGTGACCTGCACCGGAAGGCCTTTGTACATCCTGTTGGCGTAGCTGTGGCAATTCCTGAGTGGGGGACATGTAATAATCATAATAATAATAGTACAGCAGTAGTAATAATAATAGTAATGAATAGGATAAAAAAATTGTATTCATTGTATTCTATATAGGGTGCATTTGTTTCGTACGGTTTTCTCATGACTAAGCGCCGTTTATATTCATTAAATAATAGCGCACAATGTACTACAAAAGATTTGATTTTTCGATTTGACATATAATGCGTACGCGATGACGTACCTATACCAATACTCTGTTGCAGGTAATGGGTTTAAAATGTGAAAATGAAAAGAAATAATGAGGAATATCGTTAAATCTGTCCGTTTGGTTATTTGCATATAGGTTAAACTCGATCAGACGACATCACCTAATATTATTGCCGAGATTAACGATGAGGTGTCTGACGGCATATTTTGTTGAAAATCAATTCGTTTAGTTGTGTGATAAAAATGCATAAAAAAAAAAAAAAACGTGCGACGGACCAATGACGATAATTTATAAGAAATACTAGCCCATGGCTACGCCGAGCAATACGTAGGTATATAATATAACAACAACACACGTTTTACTGTCACTGTCCCACGTTCCTTAATTGAATATTGTAATGTACCACATCAAATATAATAATAGTAATAATAAAATAAAAAGTCTAGTACTACACAAAAGGGGGGAATCGTGTATTGTCGGTGGAATACTTATGATATAGCTAGGTACCTTAAACCTTATTATACAATTTATATTGTATGCAGTCGCATATGTACCGGTGATATTAAATTATTATTGTACACATATATAGGTACTTCTTCTTGTTTTGCAGCCACCGCATCATTACGGGCGTTACGGTAAAAATCATTACGGAACTGAATAATTTACTGTTATAAAAACACGCGTAACCCAATTATAATATTATTGTACTGTGAATGATATACGCGTTACAATAATAATATAATATGCAGATGGGTACGGACTTCGACGTTGCAATATAACGACGTGGTAGCGGCAGGACGCGTGCAGCGAATAATGATCTGCTAAAAAAAGAGTCGACAGAGTGCACAATAATATCGTGACATATAATCTAGATAGACTCCCCTAAAACAATATAATATAATACAATCAGATAATAGGTAGTTAATAGCATTGCATTAGTATTATTGGTTCTGATCCGGTCGCATACGATATCGTAATGTCTGTGCTCAAATCACGAGCGTGTTTGGCAATTGAAAATTCGTCTTCAACTGTTACTTCAGGTGCGTTATGTATACATAGGTAATATAATATATACGTCAACGGTGCACCAGTGGTCGAGTTTAAAAAAAAAATCGCGTAAAAACTGTCGATGTTTGCGTTGAAAGGAAAAACAAACATTGTCGAGAATGCATGTGTAGTATAATTATGTGTACCTACACATGTATATCGTACATGTTTGTATTTAACTAATCAATTTTGTACAAACAATTGTTTTTCAGGACCGATTAAAACAAAAATGGCTGTATGCATGTCTGACACGATAACACTTAAATGTTTTAAGTAGCATCAAAGTTAGTGAACATATAATAGTTAACTACTGCATCGATTGAAATACAACAGAAAAACATGATAATATATAATATCAACTATACCTAGGTACAGGATGCTTTTACAATAAATGTAATCAATGCGATAAATACTTACTCGGGCGAGTAGCCAAACAAAGAGATTTTTGTTGTACAAAATGCAATTATATTCTAAAAACAATGGTACTCCAATTTTTATTTTAAAAATAATGACTACAATTTAAAAATGTATATTCCTTATTTCGTTTTTCTGCAGTCATCGTACTAAATTATCTGTCTCGCATGGTTTTCGCAACATATTTATAGTCCATAATAGGTGCCATTATGGTGAAAAATTATGTGACCCGTCATTTAATTACTCGATGGCATAATATATCCAGCCATTGTTGGTATAGATAGTTAAGCATGTAACAAAACATGTTATTTACAGGTATTATCAAGTACAAACTATGACAAAACTATGGTAGTGGCTACTGTGTAATTAGTACTTACAATTGTACGGGGTTTTTTGGAAATTTCTTTTTTGCCCCACTTATTCAACGTGTACCTATGATGTGTATTCTATTTCAATGGCGAATTTCGTTGCAGAAACACCCTGTATCCAATGCGGTCATTTGATGATTGAAATGTACACAACTTTATCTACAACGACAAACAAACAATGTCATAAATTATTGGAATCTTGGATTAGGAGAGCTCTTTCAGAAATAAAGCGAAGCCACTAAAATGTCAAAAACAATCGTTTGTAAATAATATTGGTAAAAAAAAAATAACATAACAGATAACCACACAATAATTATTATTCGTACACGAATGTGAAGTAGACAAATTATTATTTGAAATATAGATAAAAAATGACATATTCTATATTATCTTCCCACTCTACTTGTTTAAACATTATGTAACAGCAATCAGTAGGTACACAACTTTCTTGGTTTTGACTTAGCGGAAGGACATTTAAAACAATATATTCAAATAAATTACTGTGTTTATCTGGATATTAATTTAAGGTATAATAGAGTTATAAAAATAATAAATTAAAATCCGGACATGATATAGTTGAGATCAGGCGTACTCGTCTCGCTCCACTCAGATAGACTCAGAATAATGGTGTGCTGTGAAATAAAACATTTGAAAAAAAATAAATCATTAAATTCGAAAAATGAATTCTGTGTGGAGTTCAATAAATTACAACCACGTTTGCCAAAATGTTTTCAGAATGGTTTTTCATTAAGGCTGTAGTGAAACTATTGAAAATAATCTATTCGATGCACAATTTTTACTTGAACATATTATATATACCTGAAGGTTTTATTTTTTACATTTTAATAATAGTCAATGAACATATTGAAAGTTATATTAATAATTTCATTTCAAACACGAACAATTCCAAATAAATATACACCAATAGGTAGTATAACAAAAACGTTGGTTACGTTTTTTAGTTTGTATATTTTACATAATACATATTATAAGGTAGTGTTTTTAAATATATAATCAATACTTAAACACATTTTTAGTCAGGCATATTTAGGCACATAATGCGTGAATAATATTCTATTTAATCTGAATTTTATTTCAAATGTTATAAACTTATAAATTATAATCAAGTAGTATGACAATTTTACCACGGACATTTTTGATTTTGGACAATTTTACCTAGATTTGTTTTCACATTGACTCAACGCCTGAGGCTTAGGGTTGCAAAAAACTGATTTCTTATCGTAATTTTCATATCCAATGAACAAAAAAATAATAGATAAACAATCAGTTTATGTATAAGTCAAACTCCTACTTAAAGTAAAATAAAAATAATCAATAATTTATCAAACATACAAAATCTAACTCACAATTACTCGCTTCATCAACTTACCATATATTATTATACCCAATATTATGAATTAAAATTAGAAGAAATTATGTAGAAAAATCTCTGGAAATCACAATAAAGCCAAAAATGTTTGTAATATTTTGCAAACAAATGTAACAATATTATAACTTACTGTACCTACTACTAACATCACAATTGTATATGTATAAGTGACTACCTACAAGCATTGTATGTAGAGTATATTTTAATTAAATAGGTACCTATTTATAGTTACACTACCGCTATATAGTGGCTATAATTTAGGTCGAAAACCCTCTTCTGTCGACGAGTTCCTTTGCTAGTTCGTCAAATGGATAGGTAGGTAGGCACTAAACATGTAATGTAGACAATGTTATTTTATCAATTACTTGGTTCACTTAAAATTATTGTATGCCTATTCGTATGCTGACATGATTAAATAAATATAACGTAACACATATTCGTTATATCGATATTTAATAATAATGATTGTACCTACTTCATATCAGTTATTGATTTTAGGTATTATATTTTAAAATTTCATACTTATCACTAATTTCATTTTCATATAAATAATGAATATTTGTAATATAAGTGTTATTTTTCATTTTGCATTAGATATATTATAATTTCTTGAACATATCAATGCATTACACTAAGTTGTTTGATTAATTTACAGTGGTCTTCGGCCGAAATTAATATTATTATTAACTAGCACTTTTTAGTTTTTTTAGGAAATATTTTATTCTTCGTAAGTACTTCAATTAATATCAAATTCTAATTATTGTATTTCATACACATTGCCGCATTAGATAATTTTAAACATACAAAAGCTTGCTTTAATAATATAAAAGAATAATACTCTATTAATAGTTCACTAAGTTAAATTATAAGTTTTAAAAAAATCAATTAAGTTATAAGTAAACTATAAGTAGGTACGAATAAGGATAATAATCATATTATGAATTTTTTTAAGTTCTACTTCTATTCACTAGAAGTGTTTCACTGTTTTCCATTACAGTGTCCGAAACAAGAATTTATTGTGGTAGTTATGGAATCTAATTTATGAAGTATACAATATTTCTTGTCAAAATTGATTTATATACCTAGTTCCGTTAAACTTTTATAAAAAAAAAAAATTTTAAAAATTAAAGAAGCGTATTATATATTTTTCGTTTTTTCTTTATAATAATTTATTTAAGAATATGATAGGTATAATGTTTAATAATTTTCATTTGATTAACTGTTATGTTAATCATTAACTAAAAATATTATCCAAATGTCAGTTAAGACATAAGAAAGCAAAAAAATAATTAAATTTATAAAACACAAGTCATTGTGGGCGTATTAATTTCTGTATACCTGTTCTAGTTAAATAATTTATGATCACAGAAACTTGAAACTTTTAAGAAAATACAATTTAATATTTTATAATTGTTTTTGTTTTTAAATGAGAAATTGTAAAATTTAATTTACAATTTTAAAATGTTGATGTATTATTTTCTGAGTTTTATTTTAATTTAATTTAAAAACTGTTATATTAAGGAATATGCTATAATTTATAATGTTTTATATCCACAAGTAATTAGATTTTATGCATTTTCATTTATTAAAAAAAATAATTATAATATTCATGTAAAACAATACAATAAGTATGTAAGTGTGTAATAGTGTTAATTAAGTTGCAAGTCATGAACATTACCGAAGGTGTTGACTCTTTCCAGATTTTGACCTTAAATAAATTATTGATGCAAACGAAATTATATAAAAAAATTGAATTATTTCTGATCTCAGGCAACACTTAAACTGCAATTAAAAAAAAAAAAAAAAACATTTCCAATAACTGTAATATTCTAAAAAAAAATATAAATTTTAGGCATTTGTGTGGATTGTCTAGTTGAAAAACGTTATAACAATATAAAAAGGTCTTTATTGTTTTAGATCAATATTACACAAAATGACGAAATTATATACTTGCTGGATAATATTATCCGTGGCATTAACGTCCGCTATACACGGAGAAGAAGAAATACTTTTTCCAGTAACAAAGCCGAATGACGATTGGTGGTCAAATACAATAATATATCAAGTACTTCCGAGATCGTTCAAAGACAGTGACAATGATGGAATCGGTGATTTAAAAGGTACACACTATTGTTAATCATAATAAACTGTTCGACATTCTAAAATACAAAAATTATTAAGCATTATCATACCAAATGTCATAAAGGAATCACTGAAGAATTGGATCACTTTGTCGATCTCGGTATAGAAATCGTATGGATAAATCCAATATTTAAATCACCCATGTATGACATGGGATATGACGTAGAAAACTATACTGCGATTGATCCTATGTTTGGAAGTATGGCAGATTTCGAAGAATTATTATCGGAAATGAACAAGCGAGGTACCTTCCTGTCTATTTCAATATAAAAATACTAAGCAGAAACTCAGTACTGTAATAGAAAAAAAATATTTTTATTTTTAGGTTTAAAACTCATAATAGATTTTGTACCAAATCATTCGAGTAGTCAGTGTGAATGGTTTTTAAAGTCGATAGAAAAACAAGACAAATATGATGAATATTATGTGTGGCGTAATGCCTCAAATCAAGACCAACTCAGTAATTTAACAATCACACCAAAACCTCCAAATAATTGGGTAATTAATGATGCATTTATTATATTGGCCATTCAGTTGAATAAAATTGTATACAAACCAAAACTAAATACAAATAGTTAATTCTTATATATTTGATGAGTGGAGCAGTGGACTATACATTTTACTGGGCAATAATTTAATCATATCAAAAAAAAAATATAAAATAAAAAATAATATTCAATTTGCCTGATTTTTACTAAAATAGTCTATTTAAAATTTGATGAAATTTATAATAATAGTAAAAGTATATGTTTCTATTTTAAAGTATGGTAGGTAGTTATTTTTCCAACAAATAATGGTAGCATAAAATTCTAAAACTGATGCTCGTGTCTTCAGTTTTAAAAAAAAGTTCTTAGTGTTCAAAATAATGGAAATAATAATATAAGCCAAAATACTTTTAAAAAAAAAATCAGTTTACCTATATTCCTAAGTGGTAACCTCTATAATATGATAATAGTTAAGCAAATATGGCGGCCCTGCGTGGACATGGAATACTAAACGGAAACAATTCTATTTGCATCATTTTAGTGATAAGCAGCCGGATTTCAACTTTAGGAATCCCGAAGTTCATAAAGAAATATTGGTAAGTGTTCAATTCAATTATTTTAATCTATAGGTTATCTTACGTTTTGTATCGATTTAAAGAATATTATGGAATTTTGGATGGACAAAGGCGTAGCCGGTTTCCGATTTAACGCTGTCGGTAGATTATACGAGGACAAAGATTTTCGAGATGAACCAAAATCGGTTGGCAGAGAGGATTGGCCTATTTATTATTCTTTGGATCACATATACACACACGATCAACCTGAAGTCATCGATACGGTTATTGAATGGAGAAAATTCATGGACGATTATTCGAAAAGGAAGAATACATTCCCTAGGTAGTAATACGTACCTAATACCTATTACATTAAATTTAATGCCACAATGATTATTGATATAAAAATCCATAGTAAATAATGAAACAAATGTATGTACCAATGTAATCATAGGCACATAAGATTGTTTAAATTTTTAAGTATGTAAAAATAATCTAATGAGTTAATATTATTTTTATATTTTCGTTATATTATACTTGTATAATATGGATAGGCTTTTAGCTGCAGAAGCACATCACCATGTCTGTGTATTTTCATTGAGAGATTATTACGGATATGAAAATAATCTCGGGGCTCAAATTCCATTTAATTATCATTTACTGATTCAAGTACGCAAGGACGATTTAGTATATTCAGTGGATAGAGCAATTAAATTCTGGTTTGAAGTGATGCCGGCAAACAACACACCAAACTGGGTGGTAAGAACTTTTTTAGATCTGGTGATTAAAAATAAAAATCGAATAGGCAGCTAAAAGACTTAGAAAAAGATTTAATTTTTTTCGTTGGTATTTGCATTAATGGTCACAGTAAAAATCGAATACAGCGACTATTCTATTGTTTTTTTTTTTTATATAATAATATTTGTTTAGATGGAAACCCTAGACACCGATAGGATATCATCGAAATATGGATCGGAAATGGTTCAAGTATTTACAGCACTAAAATTGTCGCTTCCTGGTATTGATGTGACATATTACGGGAGTGAAATAGGCATGGAAAATGTGTATGTGAGATCTGATCAAATACAAGATTCGTATGATTCTGGTGGTCAGAGGAATATCGAAAGCAGAGATTTCGCAAGGAGTCCTATGCAATGGAATGATAGACCCAATGCAGGTGCGTAAACAATTTTTAAGGTAGCTTTAATGATTTGTATTGTGCGAAAGTCCATTCTTATAATTTGATATAATATTTAAAAAAAATTATCAAACACAGAAAAACTCATGTGTTATGATTCCTATACATAGTATACCTACGTAAGGAAGGCGATGGGAAACAAAAATCAATTTACATATAATGCGCACTATAATTTATTACGTTTTGCAAAATACTTGACCAAATGTGTCTTGTCAATTTTAGAAATATCAATTGAAACTAATTATTACATTATTCCTAAAAAATAAAATCCAAATAATTTCTAACAGCTATACAATATTACCGATAATAAACGATAATCAAATCAGTAGATTTTACAAAAATATTGTTCCAATTGATTTTTTCTACAATGTTTATAAAAATGTACAAACTTTGACATTTGAATTAACATTATTAATTAATTTGTTGTAAAAGTTATAATAATGGTACGGTAATATTAGATGATAACTAGTCTAGTACAGTCTAGTCTATAACATCTGAAACTTAAGACGAAAAGTCAGATTAAAATGAAGTAATGAATAAACTTTTTTCTAAAAATTCATTCTGCAATCCTTCGAAAATGTTTTTTCGTGGGTTATACAACTTATGAATTAATTTTATAATCATACTTAATTTATTGAATATCTTTAAGGATTTACTGAAGCAAAAAGGCCATGGTTACCTGTAAATCCAAATTATTACAAAATAAACGTCGAAGAACAGAAAAAAATATCTACCAGCAATTACAACTTTTACAAACAAATGTCTCAACTCCGAAGAACTGATACTTTGAAGTATGGCGATCTCGAATCGTTCAATATAACCGATTCGATATACATTATCAAAAGGTCATTCCCTGTCAAATAAAATAATCTCATCAATGTAATTTTCATTATTCTCAAACTGTCAAACTTTATTTGGTTTTTAGATCGTTGCCCGGACACGAAACGTATCTGGTCGTAATGAACTTTGGAAGTGAGACCGAGACAGTCGTCTTGTCTACAATTATGAGCAGCCTAAAAAAAAAATTGCACGTCTATTTAGGCAGCGAAAATTCAGCATACAGCCGAAGGTATTATCTGCAGTATTAGAGTATTATTATTATTTAAATTATAATTTATCCATACATTTCGTTCAAAATATTAATATTGTTTAAGTACAGTCAATACACGCATTTTGAAATGACAGACGTAATTTAGGATATTATTTGATTTATTTCAGTGATACCGTGTCCACGATTTCCATCGTTGACAAACCGTTGCACCTTCGACCACAATCGGTAGTCGTGTTGACCGATAATTTAGTCAACGTCGATACGTTCAAGAATAATGCGATCAGTTACAAGCAGTATAACTCTTCATACATTAGTCTCCTGTGTGTCTTATTACTGGCTGGATATTATGTTTGAATACTTGATTAATCGAATACATTAATAACTTACACAACGAAACTTAAGAAAAAAAAAAAAAATGTATTATATTTGTAAAAAAAATGTTATCTATCCCGACCAACCAATTGCACCATGTTTATATTTGTGATACTGGATTACATTTTCAAAATTCAAAAACACTACGACGTGCTGGTACCAATGAGTTAAACAATGTACTTTTGTGTTATAAATTCAATACGCCTACACAAGTGTATACCCTCATGTCCAATGAAATAATAAGTTAAGTAGGTAGGTTATTGTTGGTATTATATTGGCCATTAGGTATTACGTGTTTTACTGTCACCAAAGTATTTAGGTAGTTTGTAACACTTTTTTATTTTTACATAATAATACAATTACACATACATACTTTATTTTGTGAAAAATTTGCCAAAAACAAATACAATAAACTTTGTGTCTTCTAGCTCAAATATCTATTAAATAAAAACTTTAAATAAATTGAGATTGTATATACTTTATTCTGAAGACTTAATTTAAGCATAATGACTACGTAGAAAAATTGATAAAATAATGTGTCCAATAAATTACATTTAAATACCTATTAAATATTAAATTTATTAAAATTGTTTATTAGCCAAATAAAGATGAAAGTATTAAACTATACATTAAAAAAAAAAATTAAAAAATTGTAATCAGTTTTAAATTTGGTTGAATTATTATTTATTACAATTCATTACACTAGCATATTATTTTGGGTGTACCTGTTAGAAGTAGCGAGCAATAATGGAGGGGAGGGAGGAGGAATAAAGTAGAAGCACCAATTACATTTATTTTTTAAAACAACACTTTAAAATCATACAGACGTAATGTAGTGAATACATAAAATACCTATTTATAATAACACAAACAATTGAAACTAGAACAACGTTGACACTTATTTAAATAAAACTAATAATAGTTCACACCAAAAAACTTGTTCAGAACGTTTCGGTTAGTGCATAGTAAATATGATTTTATTAAATATTATCAAAATCCTTAAGAGAATCCTTTTTACCATATTGTTTTTAAAACTAGAGATAATTTACCTATTATACAATATAAAGGTAAGATTATTTTTTCTAGGGCATCTCAAAAGATGTTGTTGATATTTTAATATTTTAATTACGAATGAGCATTTTAAAATTACCATCAATTCAAAATTATAAAATATCAAGAAAGATTGCAAGATGCCGTATAGAGAATGAATAATAATCTCACATTTAGTTAATTCACTCTAATAATAATAAAAAAAAAATTTATCAAAATGAATTATTGTGACCTCAAAATGTGCTATGTTCTACTTTTGTAAGACTGAGATAACACATGCGGGTGTGTCTATTGATGTACAAACGTAATACGATTAATACATTTGTATGCACGAGGGGCTTGATATATTAAAATATTACAAGTTTTAGAAAGGTCAATTTTTTTAAAATTATACATTTGTATCATTACATAGCCGTGGTTAAATATATAAAATAATTTTGATGCATACAATTAGTACTAAGAACCTACAAAATATATGAGTTTTTATATGTTCAAAAAATGCTTAGAAAAACGTAAATGTTATATTATTATATTAGTTAATGTTTGAGAATAGGTACTTACATATTATTATATAAATATATATTATTATAAGCCTACCGTAAAATTTTTTTAATTTGATTGTAACAATTGCAATATTACACTTTCAGTTAAATCGTTTCAAAAAATTATAACGGAATAGTTATTGATTGAAATGATATTATCATGTATCGGCATTATAATAATAAATTATTCACTCCGAATGAATGAGTTTTGAGACGTTTTGAAATATCGCGTTAGAGAACTGTTTTGGTGCCGATAGGTACCGTAAAGAAAGTGAACATTTAGCTTTAGTCAAATAACTAAAAAAAATTGTATACCGTTCGATAGGTACATATTATACCTACCTACGGGTTCTCGTTATTTACACGCCGGGTACAATATTTATATTCAACTATTCAGTATTCGAATGTAATGTAAACGTACTTGTTGAAAATCAGTGTTCAACATGTATAATTATGTTTTCATAATCCGTCAAGTAGTTTGATTTATTTGTTTAATATGAAACGGCTTGCGGAACAAGTCATACGAACATTATATCTTTACCGATTCGATGCGCAGAACTCAAGGACGTGACAAAATATCCGCTCGGTTGATGTGTGTGGTTTGTGCCCATAATATGCATTCAGGTTTCACAGTCACTAAATGTCACCCATACTTTGCAATTAATATTTAAAAACCCGATATTATGGGGTGGTACCGATGAGTTTTATTTTGAAATTTAATTTCTAAACAATTTTTTATGTAGGTTTTTATAACAATATTATGTCTTACAGATGCGACACCCATAGAATAGAGGTAGAGGTAGGTACTGATTATACATACAAAATAATACAAGACTTTTCGGTCGAGTGGTTCGCGAATGTTTTTCGAAACTAATCCGTAGGTATACAGTGTTGATAGTAATGGATTTTATTTCGATCTGAAGAATAGGAGTAAAATAATAATAAAAAAAATAATAATAATAATTACAACGATTTGATTATCGCGCAGACAGAGGAGCGTTTTTTTTTTTTTTTATAATGAATTTTAATTTTAAATTAACAGAATTGCTCAATAAAACGACATATTGAGTGTGCGTGTGCGTATATTATGTGCAATAAACAGATGTGAGTGAACTGTGACGATATTAAATTAATTTTGAACACCCATCGTAGCGTTTTTAATGAAAGGTAAAGACGTAACGTAATAATAGCATAATAAATATAAAATCGTTTTGGATACTCCATTGTTGTTTTATTCTATAGGTTAATTTAACTGCACAGTATTGAGTTTTTTTTTCAAATGGGTCACGGACAAGAATTTAGAGATGCGATAGGGGCGATAACAAGTTTCCATTTGACACATGTCTCTTCTGTATATTATATTATAATGTATACAAAAAACTATTATTTTTAATATACAAGCATACCGTACACAATAATTGTTTCGTTTTAATATTGTACAATTTTTTTCATAGAATAATAATTGCAATCTTGGACACCGTGTAGGATGATCTATTTATTTTAACCACTTTTATACCAATACATCACGATATAATAATAGTACGTTTATGTTGTATCATTGGTATTCATTTCGTCGAAAAAAATTCTCCGAAAGACATGTTTTGTATTAAAAAAGCACCGCCTGCGACTCCGGCTTCCTTAAAATTATGTTTACTTGTTGCTTTTGAATATTTGGCTTTGTCTTTTATAGGTATATTGATAAATTTTATTGAAAATTCCTCTCAGGTATAAAGTACAAAAAAAAATAGATATATTAACAGTATACTATCAGTATATAATATAACCTATTCAAATCATCATAGCCCATTAGCCCTCATTGGCTATAATAATTATAATATAAATCTATTTTCATGAATTATTGTCGGTATTACTAAATAGAGTTTAATAATTTTTCAAAATCTAATAATTCGATTTGTATTTATTGCATCAACATTTAAAATAAAATCATCTGTTTAACAAAGTACAGAAAGAAAAAAAATGTTAGATACGTTATTTGCATCATCGTCACTAGACATTGGTTAAACGGCATAACCTGTTTGTAAGTATTTGAAATATGGTCTTAAAGTAATTAATTCAGTTTACTCCAAAAATCAGAATTTGAATAAATCTAATAGGTATAGCTAGGCATTAATGAATGAAATGGCGATAAGCATGCCTGATGAATCCCCCCCGTAAATCCTGTAGCTTGATCATTGCCCTATCAAGTTTCTCAAATCAAAAACCACACCGAGGAGATACTATATATTACAATAAAATGCTATTATAATAGTTTCAAAAACTAATTTTTTTTACACAAGAAATACAGGTCGTCATAATTGCATGCACCCCTGGCCAATGCGCAATACGTCGATCGTTTTTCATTCAATGACCGAAAAATTGTCACCACGTAATGCGCAGTAGTCGTGTGCGATTATCGAAGAGGGTGGGCTAAGGGGCAGGGGTCCCCTCCCAAGCCCGTATTTCTAAAAATTGTTTACTGTTGTAATCAAAATTTCATAAAAAACGTATTGTAACATCGAAAGTTTTCAGAAAATTTTAACTTAGCCCCCCCGCCTCCCAACCAGGTTGAGCCGCCCCTGAGACCCCACCGGAAAGTTGTCGATGGGCACTCATATTACGATATTACATCCGTATACAACGCGGTTTTACGATATGATATTACCATAATAGTTGTTATATTGTGAATATTTCGTTCACCTTATCGTCTCATTCGACTCGCGCCTTCAGACATTCAATATCGCTCTGCGCACGCGTCCGTGTGTCAAGTTCGGCGGCCGATTTAGGAGTGTCCGAAGGTATTTTCACATCTAAGAGTAACAATAGAGGTTATGTTATTATGATATTATTGTTGTTCAATAATTATCGCGGAACCCAAATTGTTTGACCCCGTTTTCTATGTCTTTATTTTTGTTTTGTTTTTATTTTATTTTTATCTTTTGTTGCATTGTGCAGCGGCGCGCGCTCAAGACGAGCATTGTTTATCGGAATAAGAGACGATGATGGTTCGAGAAGAGTCGGCGGCGGTGGCGGCGCGGACCGCGGCAAAGGAAGTGGGGGGGAGGATGCGGAGAAAAAAAAAATTGTAATTAACTCGTGTATCATTCGGCCTTTTGTTTTATCGCGTTTAATTACTTCTCATTGTTGTAGCTATACATATATATATATATATATATATAAAACATATTCTTATATTGTTGCCGCGTAGTTGTTGCTGTCGTCGTCGTCGTCGTCGTCGTCGTCGTCTGTTACCAAAGTCATCTCGATTCTGCATACCACTCTGTGATGATGTGCACAGTTCATATACCAGTATACCTGAATGCACACGATCATAGATTTGCTCAAGCTCGATATACGCACACAACGTCATTGTTATAACTCGTCGCATCCGACAATGATTTCCATTACCTACGAGTCATATTTTAAAAAGTTTAAACTGCAACACGTTAAACTCTGCGATGCACATACCACTCGTAGGTATATGTGCCACTGCACCTATCTGCAAATTTGTGCAATAATGATTTGCATATTATATGTCCGTACACCTATGCACATCGTAACTCACGTTTTTATATATTACGTTTTTTCACCTCACCGACTTCAATATAAGGTATAGAGGATTTGCCAATCTGATATTATTAACCGTTAGAATCATAATACTAAACAAAATTCAAACTTTATCTTAATTATATTATATACGACATTTCATGTATAAGAAATCTTCCTTTGGATGGGTCTTACTTCTTACCAACAACTTAAGACATTGATGTGACAGATATGAATGACAAGACTTGACCTTTAGAAGCTGATGATGATCATATAAGATTGATGCAAAATCTTAACTAGAGCTGTTATCTGTTAATATACATTTTAATTTTATTGTTCTGAGCAGTTTGTAGAATAAATTATGATAATATTGGTTATAAATAGATGTGATTTTCTTTTAATGGTTTTTTTTTTATCAACTAACCAAAAAATTAAACACCTTAAAAATACCCATTTCCCATCTGAATTGTGTCTCGCGTCTACATCGAGCAAAACATTTACGAATCTTGAAATTCTTTGTATTTATATTGCGTTTAATACAATGGAAAAACTTCATTCTAATGCAAATTTTTTTAATATAAATCTGCAAATAAGCGATTTATAAACCCTAAAATCTAAAATTATTTTTCTAAACGAATAAATACAATATCGTGTGCCCATTGTAAGACGAAAAAAATAAAACTTGTCGTTGGTGAAGAATATCATAGCATCGCTTTCATCCATTCCGAGGGTCGAGGCGCTATAATTATATAATACCGACAAAACGATAAGACCATATAAATAACGTCTTTAGAGCACCTATACATCGTATGGGTGCACACTGCGCTGGCTCTTGCATTGTTCGGTGCTTTAACGTTTCTACTAAGACCCTTTTGTGGGCGCACGTCGAGTTTACTTTGCAAGACTCGAAATTCAAAAAAGGAATGGGTAGGTACTTATATTATAATACATGTATCCAGTGCTGTTCTTCTTCTCCCGATTCTCACACAATAAATAACAACAATATATTACGCTTGTATCATTGTTATTGTAATCAAGTATTATGTTTTGTGATAAAGTAAAAAAAAAAAAAAAACATAAATAGTGTACCTCTATATATACGCGTACCTTACGGTGGGGTGGCTATGTGATGCCCGCGATCATATAATGAACACTTGCTTTGGCGTGCGGCGCATCATCAATTTATCGTCCTGTCGTCTCCTTATAATCCAATGTTATAATAACGTATTAATACTATGTACATTTTTTTTATTATTATTATTCTCTACGGTTTTCCAATACTTATTGTCTGAGTTCATTGTTGTACGATAATAAAAGTAATAATAATAATAATAATAATAATAATAATAATAATAATCATACCGCGATCGAAACGCCGTTATTATTATTATTATTATTAATGTTAATCTCTATCCATCTCCATGTATAATAGCATAATAATATTATATATAGTCCTATGCGCATATTATGATTACCATTTTTATTATTATATTATACTTAGTGCTACAGTGGTGTGCGCGGGTTATGGATAGAGCCTGTGCTGCGGTGAAAATCAGAACTAGTAGAAAAAAGTCACACACGCCGACGCCGACATCATGACGTCGACTACCCGGTTTTGTGTGCCTACACACCTATTTGTATGCAATATTATAGGAGCACCTGAGCCGCTAAATATGTCAGTTCGTTTTCAACATTTTAGTTGACATTGGGTATAACCAAAACCTTCCATATAAAAAAGAAATCATAAAAATTGACCTTTCCAATTCAAAAAACATTATATTCTTTTATCGGGATTCTTCCTTTGTAAAATAATATTAGAA